TGTGATTACGTTACGAGCATTTTCATGCCATAATCATTGCCGCCACGTCAAACGAAGCAAGAAAATCGAATCAGTTTTGCTGTAGCACGTCTGGAAGCGTCAATATTGATGTGATTACGTTACGAGCATTTTCACGCCATAATCCTTGCCGCCGCGTCAAAATAAGCCAGAAAATCGAATCAGTATTGCTGTAGCACCTCTGGAAGCGCCAATATTGATGTGATTACGTTACGAGCATTTTCATGCCATAATCATTGCCGCCACGTCAAACGAAGCCAGTAAATCGAATCGGTTTTGCTGTTGCACGTCTGGAAGCGTCAGTGTCGAAATAATTACGTTACGAGCACTTTGATGCAATAATCATTGCCGCTGCGTCAAACGAATTCGAAAAATTGAATCAGTTTTGCTGTAGCACGTCTGGAAGTGTCAATTTTGATATGTTTACGTTACAAGCATTTTGATGCAATAATCCTTGCCGCCGCGTCAAACGAAGCCAGAAAATCGAATCAGTTTTGCTGTAGCACATCTGGAAGCGTCAGTGTCGATATGATTATGTTACGAGCATTTTGAAGCAATAATCATTGCCGCTGCGTCAAACAAATCTAGAAAATCAAATCAGTTTTGCTGTAGCACGTGTGGAAGTGTCAATATTTATATGATTACGTTACGAGCATTTCGATGCAATAATCCTTGCCGCCACGTCAAACGCATTCGAAAAATCGAATTGGTTTTGTTGTAGCACGTCTGAAAGCGTCAATATTGATATGATTACGTCACGAGCATTTAACGCAATAATTCTTCCCGCCGCGTCAAACGAAGCCAGAAAATCGAATCAGTATTGCTGTAGCACGTCTGGAAGCGTCAATATTGATGTGGATACGTTACGAGCATTTTCATGCCATAATCATTGCAGACACGTCAAACGCATTCGGAAAATCGAATCCGTTTTGCTGTAGCACGTCGGGAAGCGTCAATATTGATATGTTTACGTTACGAGCATTTTGATGCAATAATCCTTGCCGCCGCGTCAAACGTAAAATCGAATCAGTTTTGCTGTAGGACGTCTGCCCTTGCCGCCAAGTCAGACGCATTCGGAAAATCA